ATATATATATATATATATATATATATATATATATATATATATAAAAGTCGTTTTCCTTTTTTTAATATTAATTTAAATTATTGACTTATCTCACACAGTATGTTTAGTTAATATTTTGATTTAAATTTGATTGTGTTAAGAATAACGTTTATATTATAGCCTTGTATGTTTCCTCGTGTTTAGTTCACTATATACTGTTTTTCAAAATACAGCTGCTTTGACCACATTTTTCTCTGTGTAGATTTCTTTCTGTTTGAAAAGGGAATTATAGTATTGAAAGTATTTGTTTTGTCTAGTAGATAACGGGTATTTCTAATAAAGATTATAAGAATAGAATGCTCATTTAGGTAAGTGACTTGGCATTTATCCATTATATTACTCTTTTTACCTTCTTATGATTTTCTTATTAACACGTCCTATGCAAGACCAATTTTACGTGCATTATCGTCCATGTCGCGTTGATCATGGGTGATCCACGTTGTCGTATTATGTGACACATTTAGGCTATTAAATGATACGTGTCTCATAATTTTGAAAGTGTTTAACGATTGTTTCCTTTCGGAGTTCAAATATCAAACGGTCTGAACGGAAAGAACAATGTGGGACACTGTTGAATCAAGTGACATGGAATGTGTTAATAACAACAGGATTAAATGGCGATGATGTGATATTCATATTTATCAGCGTTTGATATTCCTTTTTGCTAACACAAGACAATTGTCTGTACAGATACCGTATGTCTTCACGAAATACTTTCATGGATCCTCTAAAACTATTATTAAGTTCCATCCTAATACTCACAGTGACGAAAGCGGAATTAGTCTTGGACCAAGATCAGCTTTCAAATGTAGATATAGAAAACTGCTTATCCGTTTCGCCGGATGAGCGTTTGCCGGTAGATAAAATCCGGCCAATCAAATATACCATGAAATTCATCATAAATCCGGTTCTTTCTAAAATCACCGGTGAAACCAATATCACGATCACGGTCGATAATCCGACTAGAAACATAAGTTTGCACGCTTACGGGCTGCGCGTTCGCAAATCCTCGATAGAGCTTAGAAATACTGAATCAACTGAATCGTACAAACTTCTCGATTACCGTTATTGTAGCGGACCACAGATTTTGGATATGCGGTTTGGTAAAATTATAGCTTCTGGAATTTATAATATAACAATGCAATTTACGGTTTCTTACTCTAGCCAGAAAGGCATATTTCGCTACAATTACAGGAAGTACGCAAGATTATCAAGGTGAGAATATCGTTGAATTATTATATGTACTACTAACTGTCAAATATGAATACTATTGATTTTCTATTTTCAATGATTTATATATATATGCGTGCATGTATGTGTGTGTAATTTTCGATATCACACGTGTCAAAAGAATCTTCTTATAAAATATACACAAAAAATTTGAAACATAATACATTATGCGTAAGTATAAGGGGAGACAGAGTCAAGTTGGTTTAAAGGTTATGTTGCTCATAACCTTTTATTTATGTTTATCGTGCGAGAAACATTGGAACTGTAACAGCAATACATTCTCTCACGAATGTGGGTACTTTTCTCTGATATATTCATCAAAATTGAAGAAATATTATAATTGAAAAAAAGAAACATTTGTTATATAATCAATATATTCATAAGAAGAGAATTGCAATCTCTGCTTGAAAGATTTGATGGGATTGCATAAGAAAAATTTATGTAATTAAATCGTATTTTTTGTAAAGTTATATAGAAAGGCATGTATATTTAAATAAATATTTAATCGTTAAAAGTGAGTTACATGATATAAAACGAAAGAAGTTGACAATTTTTGGAAGAGCTTACAAATGTGAGGAATTAAAATTTCGAATAAAAATATATTCAAATAACGTGTAATATTTCAATGAAATTTATATATACTTTTATTAATCTTTATTAAAGTTTTTAACTGACGATTGCAACTTGATTTGTACATTTAATAACTGAGGTTGCTCTAGCATTACATTTCATAAATGTTATTTAGTGTCAGAATGAAACTAGTTAAAAGTAAGTTAAACATAATAACAGCATACAAGAATAATATAAAACTTTGTTCCGCATAAGATATTTTCACGTTATATTCATAGACGTGTCAAAAACTTATTTATTTATATTATCGTATAATTTGATTGAATATTTAACATTTATATTATGGTAGGATGATCACCACGCAACTTGAGCCAAACGCGGCCCGAAGAGTGTTTCCATGCTGGGATGAGCCTGGAATAAAAGCGATTTTCGCCATCTCTGTCAAGCATCCTACGGAATACAATGTTTTCTCAAATATGCCAAGAATAGGTCATCATAGTGATGAAGAAAGTGATGATAATTTGTTATGGACACATTTTCAAGACACGCTGTCAATGTCTGCTTCTCATGTTTTGATTATGCTGACCGACATTAACTTCAAATATACTAATCTGTATCACAGTGATACAATATGGCATCAAATAGATTCGGAGAAGACACTGAAACACGCATTCTTGGCAATAGCAACGGCAAAGACGTTTTGGCATATGGTTACTGACACGAACACGTTATTTCCGAAGATAGACAACATTTTATTCCCGAATAATACAATAAACACAATGGGATGCTTTGGCCTCACAATTTACAGGTATATAATATATATAATCAAATGTTACAACACGTATCATTGAGATCTAAAAAGATCCTCAGTATTCGGATTTTCGTATATATTTATACCGAGTAAAAAAGAAGAGAATCCACGCTAATGAATTCAGAGAATTGGCAACATATGGAATTCAGAAGGATATATATCTTTTAACAACTTTGAATGAATATTATCCTATTTTTTAAGAGTATTTATTTATTAAATTATTATATGTTTTTTATTATATAATTTTATTATATAATATATTATAAATTATTATATAGTATTTATTATATATATATATATATATATATAATTTAATAAGTTATTTATTATTTATTCTATTTTTATGAGAGTAATTTATGAGAACGTAATTTTATGTGGGCTTATACAAAGAACTTCCGATGTAAACAGATTGATGTACAATTTTCAGAGAAAAGGATTTTCTATACGATGCAAGTTTAGATTTCCCTGGTCGCAGAAATGCTGTGATGAAGACGATAGGACACAAAATAGCACGTCAGTGGTTTATCGGGATAGTTACCCCGTCTTGGTGGACTGATTTGTGGTTAGGGGAAGCACTTGCAACATTGTATGGTTATTATACCATGGACATGGTCATTATACATTATTTATCATTAATATAATTTTTTTTCTAGTTAAAACGAATTACCTTTTCCAGTTAAAAGTATACATTTGATATTGTAGTATATCGCACTTAAATCCTAGTAACTATTTAATAACGTAAAAAAGAGCACTTATACATGTAGTTAAAACAAACACGCTAATCGATATCATTATTCAATCGCAATTATCGTTTTTCTAGTTTGCTGAGGTGTCAGCATCAATGAATCTCTTTGTAGTCCAGATTCTGCAGCCTACTCTCCGCTGTGACACTGACCTTCAAATGAAAGCTATTTCGGTACACAATGTTAACAACGCAGATGAAATTGATATAGTTTTATATTCACAGTTGTATTACGCTAAAGGTGAGATTGAATATGTCTTAAGAAATCGTATGTTTCTAAAGAAAAATATCGTACAAATAAAGCAAGTCAAACTGCATTTCAAATTGAATAAATCTACTACACTTTATCGCACATTTTATCGTAGGAGTCGCCCTTTTACGCATGTTGGAATATTCTCTGTCACGGGAAATATTTGAGCAGGCCGTCAGAAAATATTTGAAAACATAGTAAGTAATGCGTTGTAATATTATATATAATAGTTTATTTTTCAATGCCTTACATATTGTCTTGAAGATAACTACACATTCCGGCGTGATGCTATTTCTTAAGAATTTTACTTACGTCTATGTTAACTATTCGAAGTAAATACTAGAAACGCTACTTCGCGTTAAGTCACCTTTTAAGAGGTAGTGACATTTGCATACTGTAACAAATTTTTAAAATATATGTTTAATATGTATTAAATTGTATATGTCATGCAAACATAGGCGCGTTAATAGATTGAAATTATGGATAGAAATGAACAGATTTGAGATACAATCTATGATAAAGTTAATATATTACTATCGATATGAAATTTTATCGATTTAGTGAATTGGGCTCGGCGACTGTCGACAATTTCTGGACTATTTTGCAATCCGTCTACGATCAACAAAACAATCATCAAAACTATACGATAAAAGAACTAATGGAGACATGGCTAACGCAAAAATATTATCCGGTGTTATACGTCGATAGTGATGAGCGTAATAAAGTGATTAGACTTACAGTCGTTGGGACTGATGATTCTAACATCAACAACTGGACGATACCAGTAACATACACTACGATGTTGTACAATAATTTTTATATCTCGAATGTTACTTGGATAAATAGTTCTGAGACGACAAATATTTCTTTACATGATTACAATTTGGTTATAATTAACACGAATCAAAATGGTAAGTTTCTCGAATATACTCGCCACTCTTTCCCACATAAAGCATAAAGCTATTCGAAGTTAGCGAATTACCACCGCCATACTTGTTACATTTCTCAACTAATAAAGAATAATTAATGGCATTTAATAAAGATCTTTATTTTACAACAGGATACTATCGCGTCAATTACGATAAGAAGAGTTGGCTGATAATTGCAGAATATTTGAATTATAGGGATTACAAACGTATACATGTTCTTAATCGTGCTCAAATCCTCGATGACGTTTATTACTTTATGATGAAAAGAGAAGTCCCAACATCCTTATTCTGGGAAATTATAAGATACTTACAGCGAGAGACAGATTACGTAGCATGGTATCCGATGTTTAACATTTTATCGTACATGTCGCCCTACTGGAATCTTCCAGGATCGGCATTCATCAAGGTAGGTAATAGCGAATTTGATGAGATAAGCCAATCAGCTAATTATTTTGTTTACACGATGACTCGAAAACCTAGTGTGCGATTCCTTTTCTCAATATTTTAATAATTACCGCGGTAGTTTGCAAAATGGTACGGAAATTTTCTATTAAGTTTAACAAGTTCTACCTACACACAAGAGCACGGAACTTAAATTCAGACACTCTGTAGAAATTGTCTCTCAGCGCGCTAATATTACGTTCGTGTTTTCAAGTTAAACATAATATGTACGATTAATTCTACTTGATGGTACACACAGCCAGTTATGCTGGAAATTTTGGATGGTCTCCTCAAGAACATAGGATATGAAGAAATTATTTATGAGAACGACATGTCTAAATCGTTGAGGTTACTAGGAACAAGGTGGGCTTGTAAGCTCGGGCACACAACTTGTCTATCAATCGCTAACGTAAAATTGGCCGAGCATCTCAAGAATCCTGACAAGCACAAGTAATTCTCCCTATTAGATGCTATTTTTTTAAATAATGGTGTTTTTAGAATCTCTCATAACATGTTCATGATATTAAAAATTTTAATTTGTCGTTATTTTTTTTCGTTTATCGTAGAATTTTACCGTGGTGGAAAGATTGGGTATATTGTACGGGTATGATAGCGGCGAACATAACTATTTGGGACAAGCTGTTAGAAAAATACGTTGCCACTAAAGATCTAGCTATTTTGGATTATTTGCAATGCTCGGAAGATGAACATATCATCTCGCGATATTTGCAGCTGCTTATGTCAAATCAAGAAAATTGGTTATTAAATGATGAGAAGTTTATTAATATTTATCGTGCACTTGTAAGGAAGCACGCAAGGAAGAATGTTGTGCTGGAAAACATCTTAAAGAGATATGATATGATAAGATACAGGTGATTTTTATTTTCATAAATACTTACAATAACAGATCTCGATAAAGTATGTATTAGTGATAAACTTGATATTTTATGCATTTCTAGGTTTCTGAGCAACATTAGAGATATAGATATATTTGGTGATATGATTATGAATGTACATTTTGATGAGCAATTTGATAAGGTATATTTTTCGAATTTTTTGCTTTTTTAATACTTGATATTTCTTTTAATTAGTTCTATTCGTTTCCGCGCACATCAAATGTGATAATTTGTTTCGCGTTAAAGATAGAAAGAAATGAATGATAAGGTGATTCATTATCACGTCATATTGAACTGTTATTCATCGTATAAAATTATCGAAATTATTTATTTCAGATAATAAGATTTATAGAATCACAAACTAACATGCTAAGCTTAAATATGTCTGAAATTTATTTACTAAGAGAAACACAAAAGGAACGGAGTCAGAAATTGATGAATACGTTTATATTCTAAATGGAAAGAATTGTATAATATCGCGATTGGTTGCTCGAATGAGAGAGTCAACGATTCAGACAGCTGTTCTTCTAAGTAAAACGTTATTGTAAATTATTCAAACTTTAACATTTATTTTGAAAATGGTGACGTATTTTCTGTATTATTATATGCATATATTTTATCAAATTTTTGTGTACACACATATACACTACATATATTGCATGATTACATATATTATTTTATAACTACACATATATAATATAATTATAAAAGAAATATATGTACTATACACATTGATTTGTTGTAGCTATATATGTATATTATATTGTAATTACTGTACAATAAATTATATTGTGCCATAAAGGTTTAGAAATTTTATTGTAACTTAGACACATTATTCTATTATTATTTCGGGATTAGCTTAGGAACAGTAATGCGCGTTTTGTATCATTACATGTGTAAATAAACTTTTCATATAATTCTTTATTTACACATATTGCATGATAACATATACAGTACATTTAAAGAAACATATATGTGCTTTTATTTATCATAGCAATATATATATTGTTATCTTAGTTGTAAATATTGTTTAATAAATAATATTATATTGTAAATCTTAAGAAAAATCTAACTCTGACATGTGTAGCGATTTTAATTGAATTGAACTATAAATTTGATATCCACTTCCTCAATGACATGTTTATCATGATCCTAGTCGAAAATGTAACTAGGGATATAAATCTGTATGTGCTTACAGACTAACTATTTTTAATAACGAGCTTAGGAATATAAATGATAGCTTAAATGAATTGTACATGTTTTATTATTCTTATTATAACAAGTCGCAAATTTTGGATCAACGGTTTGATGAAATTATAGTTACTGAAATGTATTACTTAACAATTCACTTTTAGACTTTTTACTTTAGTCCAAAAGTGGAAACTACAAAACCAAACTTTCGTAATTATAACCAAATTAAAGTTTTGAATCACGCTCAGTTAATTGATGATGCATATTATTTTGTGATGAATGAAAAACTTAAAGTTTCCGTATTATTACGTCTAATTAGATACCTAAAGAGAGAAAGGTAATATGTAGCCTGGTATCCTATGTTCAATATTTTAACGTACATGTTGAAGTACTTGGAATTACCACAAAGTGCAAAATTCAAGGCAAGTTGTAAAACATTCTTTTGTATATATAAAACTACTAGTATCTTGTATGCATCCTCTTTTGAAAATATCGAGTGGTTTGGGAATATAATCCTTTCTAAAAAAAGGTATGTAAAAGATTTAATTGTTGCCGCTTTTCCGCGATGCTGATTGGTTTTCTCGCTTAGCTCACTTTATGTGGGCTGCGGCTTGCTTTGTGTCGTTTGCGCCTGTCAAACTATCAGGCAAATAGCTGTCATCGCGTTGGTTAGGTCACGAAGAAAAAATACAGAAGAGATATGTCTCTCCTTGTCTCTCCCTGTCTCTTCCTGTCTCTCCCTGTCTCTCCCTGTCTCTCCCTATCTCTCGCTATCTCTCCCTGTGGCTGCCTATCTCTCCTTGTCACTCCTTGTCTCTCCCTATCTCTCCTTGTCTCTCCCTGTCTCTTCCTGTCTCTCCCTGTCTGTCCCTATCTTTTCCTGTCTTCCCCTGTCTTTCCTTCTCTTCCTGTCTCCCCCTATCCCTCCCTGTCTCTCTCTGTCCCTACCTGACTCTCCTTGTCTCTCCCTGTCTCTCCCTGTCCCAGCTTGTCTCTCCCTGTTTCTCCCTATCTTTCCTTTTCTTCTTGTCCTTGCCTGTCTCTCCCTGTTTCTCCCTGTACCAGGTTGTCTCAAAATATGTTTCAACATCTTATCGTTTTTGTACTGAAACACAGATCTTGGACATATTTTTTGGTAAGAAAATATTTCCTGGATCATACAATCTACATATATATTTCAACAGTATGTCCAACAAGCATGAAAATATTATTAGATATCAAGATATATCATAGAAGAAGCTGGAGCAACTAAAAGGTGAGTGAACTTTTCAATTTCGTGTATGCACAACCAGTTTGAAGAAGAAAAATTTTCGATATCGTATATTTTACAATATTATCACTATTATATGTTACAAGATTTCAACTATATACATATACTAGGTTGTAAAAGATTAGACATAAACAATTTGGGAACTCACAAAACTATAAAAAATTAAGCTCACTAACGACTGATTTTTACAATAATTTTATAATCATGAAACCAATAAATAATAAAATAATAATAATAATTCTTAACATAATTATTTGGTCAGCCTGTACATTTTTTTACACACACACATTATTTAAATTGAATCTGGTATAAAATATATTTTGTTCAAATAGAGTAACATATAATACGTAGATAAAAAGACTATAAACTAATTTTAACATATGTGACTAAAATATATTAAAAATCCTAACAACAAATTATTATAAAAACGCACAATATGCATAATAAAATAGAACGCAGACAATTATTATTACATTACTAGAAAATAAAAAAAAAATCGATAAAAATCGCCAAGCAATTTTAATTAGATTTTCTCTTTTCAAATATAAATTTTAACTATTTGAATAGACAGTTAATAAATTCAAAGTACAATATATCAAGAGAATAGAACTATATGCTGAAATATACTCATGAGATATTAATGTAAAATATTGTCATTTATGTAAAAGTCAGAATTGAAGAAAATAGTACAGCAAACATACATGAAAAATTCTTTTAGAATTTTGCTCTTGCTTATGTGTGGGTTTAGTTTGCAAGTTAATTTAACCGAAATTGATTTAATGTTAGGACTTCGAATAAGTTATTCATAGTGCTGTAATGTTTTCTGCTGATTTTTATGACGAACATAGTTATATTCAATATGTTATTTAAATATTTAGTATTGCGAGGCAAACTGACGAATTTATTTTATGCAAAAACTGAAATTGATTTATCTTTACTGAAGTAATGTTTTGCGTCAGGTGGTTTTTTGGAACATTGTCGGCATCGAACCGTGCTCGAACAATATTTCCATGTTGGGACGAGCCGGAAATATACATGAAGTATGAGATTATTATTAGGCATGCTGAGAAATATCAAGTTATATTGAATATGCCAGTGCAGAAGATGTTACTAGAATCAAATCATATATTATTAACATATTTCCATACTACCAAACCTATAGCTTCAAGTCAAGTGGCAGTCATAATGTTTAATAATATGATACAACATACACTCGACGAAGAGTATTTCTGGTCTCAACGACATATTAAAGAAACGAACATTTCGCATGAAATTTTGGAAACAAAAAAACTTTTGGCAACTTATCTCGGAGTCGCTGATAGAATTATGAAAACAGATCACTTCGTGATTTCGAATCTTCCATACCAGATCATAGGAAGTTTAGGAGTTATTACATACAGGTATATAGCCTGCGTGCAGTTAATATTATTGTATAACCTGCTGAAATATTCTATATTAAAAAATTTTATAGTGATGAATCTCCTGTTATTCAAAAGAATATTACAGTAGGCAATATTAAACCTGTTATTCAAAAGAATATTACAGTAGGTAATATTAAACGACAGGGTATATAACAAGAATTCACCATTTAATGAGATAAACAATTGTTGGAAACAGTGAAATTTAGGAAGACATTTTCTTCCTAAAATTGCACTAGAATAAACATATATTTCATCTAATGATATTATATTTATCTTGCAGGGAAAAAAGCCTTACGTACGACAATAATACTGATTTTCCTGGTCGCAAAATTAATATCTACAAAATGATAACCGATGCATTGTCGCGAGAAGTCTTCGCTGAAGTAATCTGTCCGTCTTATTATTGGCTAATTAAGATACTTGCATCTTTCATAAGTCATTTTGTTATTTTTGAAGTAAGTTTACATTCTTACCTTTGCCAAAATATAGTTACGACCTATAAGTCACTCAGTTTATCCTTTTATATTGTTAATTCGTATGTTGTTTTCTATATCGTATTAACTCGATGATAATAATAATCACTTCTAGGACTTAACTTACTCGTCGTTTATGGATCTTTCCATCGTTCAGACTATGCAGGGTGCTTTATACTATGACGTCGATTTCCAAATGGCACCTGTGTCACAGAACAAGTTCTTGTTTCCCACTGATGAAATTGATGCAATTCATTACTCTCACTTGTATTATAATAAAGGTAGGATGTAATAAATTCATAAAAATAACCTTTTGTAAACTATATAATTGAAGCACCGAAAGTAATCTGATCTTAGTTAAAGTTATTCTTGAACATTTAAACATTTTAAATATTGAATTTATAATAAGATAAATTTTTTTTAATATAGAAAACAAATTTAAGATATAGTAAATTATGTCGTGCTCTTATTTTGTTATTCAATCTTCAACATTACGTAATTTATAACAAATGTATAGATTTACTCCTGTACACTAAACTTTTTTCCAATTCCGATTTACTATAGTGAATGTAATGTACCCTTAGATATTTATAATTTTAAATATATTTTCGAAATGTAGATACTTTTTAACAAATTTGTTTTTCCAATCTCGACTCTTCCGAAGTTTTTATTATATAGAAACAGCCCCTTCAAGAATAGCATGGATATACTGCACTCAAGTATATTCTAAGATTAAGTTAATTTGTTCTGTTATGTTTATATATTATTATAGGAGCTGCTTTAATGCGCATGTTGTCTTATTCCTTTAAAAAGCCGGAATATTTCCACAAGGGTATTCGGAAATGTTTGGAAAAATGGTGAGTGATGCATAATATTACACGATAGTAATAATTAATATGTTTCAATAAAATACACTAGTTGTCGTAAAAGATGTCCTAAAGAAGGTTTGTTTAAAACATCTTGAAAGAAAGTGTTAAAAACATCTTAAATCGCAAAATATCTTAAGATCCTTCTGAGAACTTTGTAAGACGTCTTCGGAATTTTAAGAGTTCTTTCAGACGTTTCTACGTCATAAATATGTTATCTGATATATTTTTACTCTAAGTTGCAATAAGACATTAACTGGTCTATACTGAGAGAAAAATGTTCGGTATTTACAACTATAATCATATAGAGAAATAATTACTATAAGTTATG